TACGAAAACGTTGAGCAAACCTTCTTAAAGGTGTTTCATTGCAGCTCGGCTTGGTTGAAAGGTATGGCAACGTTGAGCAACTGGTTTTGGGTCTTCTGCCTTTGATTCCCGCGAGGAGCGTGATTTCGGCCCTGGGAGCGGAGCTGGGCTCCAGCGAGCTGATGCTGTCGCGCAGGGCGGCGTGGCCATTTGCGAGTCGTCCGAAAGGTCCGAATGTATTGAGCTAAGGGGAAGACAACTTTTGGTCCTTTGACCTCCGCGAGAGTTCCGCGAAGGGGGTCGCGGAAGTCTTTTTTTGTGTTGTTTGCCTTTTTTTCCCCCGCGAAAGTTTGTGTGAGGGTGGCTTGCTAACAGGAAGCTGAATGATGAACCATGTGTATTTACCGGCAGTGCGCGCAGAATGCCCGCAGACTAAAGTTGGTTGAAGAATGCGCAGTCTGAGGGTCGCCGCAAGACACGCCGCTGCAAAAGCAACCCCCAGCCAGCAGAAACCAGCTTCTGGGAGTTTTGAATCTTTCGGGGCAAGTTGAGCGCAACTTCCAGCCGGATTTCCGCGAATGTTTGGCGTAAGATCCGCGAAAGTTTCGCGAAAGTCGACGAACCTCCCCGCCAGTTTCCAGACAGGAGGCCAACGGGTCCTCTCGTTTATAGCTCACGGCTTGTGAGCTGGAGCTGCGGAAGCGCGCTTCGCGTGCAACTTTGGAACTGAAAGGTTGCGACTTTCGAGCTGGGGCTGCGGAAGTTTAATTTGTGTACTATTTTCGTATTGAAAAGTATTGACTTTCGAGGCTGAAGAAGTTTAGTTCGTGTACTACCTTCGTATTCAAGCCGGGCTGCGGAAGTTTACTTGTAGTACTACTTTCGCACCGAAGAGCTGCGACTTTCGAGCTGGGGCTGCGTAATTGTACTTAGTGTACTACTTTTGTGATGGATGTTCTGAAAACAGCCCCGCGAAAGTTCCGCGATGGGGTCCGCGAAAGTTGTATTTTTCCTCGCGAAGATTGCGGTTTCCGGAACAAGGAATTTCAGACAACCGTCATGTGGGACGCTCCCTCCATGCGCATGGCGCCGCGACCGTTCCTTCGGTTTCGGACCTGTCAGGCGAACGACCAGCTGACAAACCAGGCAGCCAACCAGCCAACGTTGTTGGGAAAAAATCTTCGAATTGTTGCTTGCTTATTGTGGTTTAGTGGTTGGATTTCAACCACTTAACTGCTAAAAATTGAATTTTGCTCCCCTTCCAACGTCAAGCAAGCATGCGTTGAGCGCGACCCTTCGTTCGATTTCGGACCTGTCAAAAAGAAAACGACCAGCCAGCTGACGAACCATGCAGCCAACCAACCAGCCAACCAACCGAGCAGCCAGGGTGGGCCATGGCGATACTGTCAAGTTGTGGGGAGCGCCCTGTGCTCGTGGTGCTTGATTATTTTGGGTTGCGCGAAACCTTCTGAAGCCTGCGCCAAGCTGCCCTTTTGCGTTCCGAGCTGTGACCTTTTGGTGTTGCAGCTGTGCTCAAAGTGTCGGGTGTGAATTGTGATTGATGCGAGGTTGAAGCACTTTGGAAGTGTGTGAATGTGTCACGTGCGAATGGAATTGGTTTGAACTGACTTTGAAGCGAGTTTGAAGGGTAGAACTGTGCGTGAAGTGTAATAGACTTGAGTTTGACGTGTTTTTGCAACTGCCGCATAAGTCTGCAAGTGGGCTTAAAGTGTGGGTGGTCCATGTGTGGTGTGCGTGTGTGTGTGTTGTGTGTGTTGTGTGGGTTGTGTGTGTTGTGTGTGTGTGTGTTGTGTGAGTGTGTTGTGTGTGTGTGTTGTGTGCTGTGTGTGTGTGTGTTATGTGTTGTGTGTGTTGTGTGTGTTGTGTGTTGTGTGTTGTGTGTTGTGTGTTGTGTGTGTTGTGTGTGGTGTGTGGTGTGTGTTGTGTGTTGTGTGTGTGTGTTGTGTGGGTTGTGTGTTGTGTGTTGTGTGTTGTGTGTTGTGTGTGTCTGTGTGTGTGCATGTTTGTGTGTGTGTCTGTGTGTGTGTGTGTGTGTCTGTGTGTGTGTGTGTGTGTCTGTGTGTGTGTGTCTGTGTGTGTCTGTGTGTGTCTGTGTGTGTGTGTGTCTGTGTGTGTCTGTGTGTGTGTGTGTCTGTGTGTGTGTGCCTGTGTGTGTGTGTCTGTGTGTGTGTGTGTGTCTGTGTGTGTGTGTGTCTGTGTGTGTGTCTGTGTGTGTGTGTCTGTGTGTGTCTGTGTGTCTGTGTGTGTGTCTGTGTGTGTCTGTGTGTGTCTGTGTGTTTCTGTGTGTTTCTGTGTGTGTTTCTGTGTGTTTCTGTGTGTGTGTGGTATTGCACGTGCTTTTCTGGAGAGACACAGCATGCTAAATGGCCGGGAACTTGGGCAACTCAGGAGCACTGTCGGAGTGTAAGATTGTTAAATCTGATGCAAACCATGTGTGTTGTTCACTGTCTTGATCGGGATGTCCGGCCCACACCCTGGGCAAAGTGAGACCGGTAAGGATTCCGGAAGCGAAGAATGCATTGCGTGTGTTTGAAAAGAGTGTGGCCGTCATCTCTGTTCTACACAGCATTCCGCCTCACTATTTTTTTCGTGTGCATCTTTTCCGAAGGAATAATTGCAGATTTACACGCTGGGATAAACCGTGGAACGAACCCATTTTGGCCCTCTAGAACCTCAGACTCTCCTTTCCGCCAAGGTTCCATGCTTTGGAATCCGGACGGGCGAAACAACCAACCATAAGTATAAGCTTTCCAACGCACGCCTGTCTGTGGTTAAAAGGTGAACTCAAAGTAACTGGTGCCTTGTTTAAGCAATATTTTGCAACAAAGAGAGGTCTTGAATGATGATTGCAAAGACCAGTGTCAATAGCTCATGCCTGCACCACCGGCGAGCGCGGCTGAGCCACATCAAGACCCGGGTAAATGAAGGTTCCTAGACAAATTCGTTCGGATCTCCGCCCTTTTAATTCTTTACCATGGATTTGGAGAGACTGAGTAGACCCCGTCAGTACCAGGTTTTGCAGTTTTGACGGTCTGAGGTTTCCATTTGCAAGACGTCCTCCTTCTCATCCTTGCGGTCTCCAAAAAGCTCGCCGAAATCCGGCGACGCAGAACCGCAGCTCAGCAGAATGGCCTGGGTGGTCAGGTTTCATGGTTTCATGGCGTGGAAGGCAGTTTTTTTTGTTTTTGTTTACACCCGGATGCAGATGGTGGATTCTTTTGCCCTGTGTTTCATTGAGAGCTGGAATATGTACTCATCTTCGTCTGAGTCTTGTTTGAGCTTCTGGACTGGAAACCGTCTGGGATTGCTCCCGGCCGTGTTTGCAGCCGTGATCTTTGTGTTTCACGGGGGTTCTTAGGGGTGGATCATGGTGGTGTCGGGTTGGAAACCGTCCCCGTGAAGTTGCATTGTGTTCGGGGGGTACATGCGCGCCCGCGCTGTAGCTGCGTGCATGTTCGCGGGTGTCGGCTCACGCTGTCAGGTGACTGGCTTTGCGCTGAGTTCTCTGGTTGCGCATTGCCCGTTTCCTTCTCAATATTCATTGAGTCCGTCCCGACCTGGCGCTGTATTGCAGGTTCACCCGGCTGTGACCAGTCGGTGTTTGCTAGCTGTTTGGCCCCGGAAAGTAGATCGCCTACGGCGGCCCTTTTGATGGGCACATAGAAGAAACAAGGAAAAGGCATCTTATGAACGGCTTGAAAAGTAGACACGTTCCAGCTGCGCCTCAACAGCACCGACCTGTGAAGGATGCAGCATTTTTGTGTCGTCGGTGACATGTCGCAGCCTTGCTCAAAAAAGACACTGAGCTCGTTTGGGCGCGGCCGACATGGGGGCAAGGATGGTGCAAACAACTATCCGTCTATTTTCGTCCACTGTCGCCTGAACGAAAAGCACAAAGGCAACAAACAAGCAAAGCAGCGGGGCAATTTGTCGCCGACGGTGTTCTTGTTTCTTGGTCCACCGCGTGCAATCTATACCCGGGCTTGCTGGCTCAAGCCTGCTGCAAATATGTGAACGCACAGAGCTCTCCATCCATTGAGAGAAAACTGAGCCGTACGCTGGCGGAATTGTGGTCAGTGCGCGCACGCGCATTGGAAACAACAAGGACGGCCTTATCTGTTGGTTTCCAATCTGCAACTGGCGCATTCTTGTCTAAGAGGATGTAGATGCCAGGCACCTTTCCTATAGGAAAGCGCTGAGAAAGCGACTGGCCTGGCTGCTCAGGGCTCTGCCAGTCCGGTCATTTTCGGCGGCTCTCTTGCGCAGACGCGGGCGCAGACGTCGCGCGACAGCTCTCTTGGCCTCACTGCTCGAGAAGGATGTGCAAAAACCGCTCCGGGGTGGACCCAAAACGGTTTTCTCGGCGTTGCCATCGACTGAGTCCATTTCAGCCGACTCGCACCGTGCTCACGGACTGCTGAAAACGGAAGCTAAGCAGTCCATACAGTTGTTTGAGCCCATCCAAGGGAGCGGTGTCCTCTTAGTTTCCTTTTTCAGTAGACCAGATCTTGCGCAGGTCCCGGAGTGTGGGCGCCTCAACTTGAAACATTAATCTACAATCATGCTCCCACCTTCACAGTGAGCCTGCATGTGGGTGTGGCTCAAAATTAACCAGGAGGGGCACACCGCAGGTTTTTGTCCATGTGTCCACTTACCAGGGTTCCATTTTGGCACCGGTTTTTTGAGCCACAGCCATGTAACAAAGGCGGGGTCGCATACTTCAGCTTGGTGAAGTGAACGATTCAGCTTGCTGAATGCTGTCACTTCTACAGGTGGATTTTGCTAGTCATTCCGTTGAACTAGGAGCCCTCGGTGGCATAGTTTTTTTTTTGGTTTTGTGTTGTTTGTTTCCCCCCACATGTTAACATACGTAAGGCTGCCCCTGTCCCATTGTTTGCTGGGTGTTACTGTGTTCCTCCTCGCACATCGTAGCCTCTTGACTCTCCGATCGGATCCAAGGATTGACTCCTCGAGGCCAAACCTGCGATGTCTTGCCTCTTGCCAGGTAGAGACGCACGCAGCCATGAGGTTCGGTCAAAATTATCCGTATAGTCTGGGTGAATTATAACGACCTCACACGACCTCACCCCAAATGGTGGTTTATGTGGGCCCGTTATTTCAGGTTGGTGAAATATTATAACTCACCCAGGTATAGTGGACGGCCGAGAACTCACAAAGTTTCCCACAACCCGGGGACGAAGTATGACGAAGTCCACTCTTTTCTCCAGGTCCTTTTCAGGAGATCATTTTGAGCGCGGCTCGCCTGGTATGAAATTCCTGTTGCAGCATGTGTGATACAGCCGTTCTGTATGATGTGCATTGTGTTATCATTGATATTGGTTCTGCTCAAATGGTTTTTTCTTTTTGGTGTTCTGGTTCATTACAAGGGGTTTGGCTACGATTCCTGCGCACCCCTTGCCGCTGCGGTGCCCAATGCCTTGTTTCAAAAACAATAATTGCGTGGAGTGCGGTGTTCGTGCATGTAGGCCTATGGCTTGTTCGAGTCAAGCGACTGCTTGTCATTCTTCAAAGTCCCCTGCCCGCAGAAGGGATCTGGCCAGAAACCAGCTATTTCGTACTCTGGCCCGTGCCTCACTTAAGATGTGTGGCATTGGAGAAGTGCTATCTTGGTTCAGCAAGGGAAGTCTGAGAATGTCCCGCCCTCTGGGCCACATTGTTTTGATGTGAAAGAACTTCACGTGAAAGTCAAATGTTGTTGCAGACGAAAGTCAGGTCAGTGGTTTTATTGAGCAAGTTGAAACAGCCAAGTTCCCAAGCGACACACAGGGGTTGTTTTGAGGGAAGCCGGATCGACAGGAGTTCCCTAATCCGAGGACCGGGCTCTCAATATCAGCCTTACAGCACAGGGGTTGGCTGCAAAAGGAGCTTTCAGAGGTGAAGATAAGAAGATTACTGAGGTGCAGAGTTCGCTGAAGTTAGGTTCTCTTGGAACTCCAAATGAGAATCCGGAAGCAAATTATGCTGGTCGGCGCGGGTGGCATCACAGGTCTTCACATGTGCTGTGCTCTATGCAGTGTGTGTATGTTGCGACATGCTTTCGCGTTTTCTGCCCTATGAGCAAGCCCATCTACGCAAAACAAGTCCTCAGTGGTGCTCTGCAAGGCTGAGTTGAACACCGAGCACCAGGTTGTTGACTCAGAGTGGCTTTGATACAGTGAGTCAGAAATCATATCCTACTTTATGAAGTATGATAGTATGCGCTTAGCGTCCCTCATGCTCCAAGCGGATGAAGGAGGCGCTTGTGAGCGCAAAATAGTTGGAAACTGTCCTGTTCGAGTCGGTTGAAAGGGTCAGGCTGGCACAGTCTTCCTGATGTCATGTGTTCATGTTCTGAGGCAACATGCATAGTTCGACCGCTCATTTGGCCCCACCCTGGAACCATCACTCTGAACGAATTGTTATCACATGCAAAGCAGGCGTCGGACTCAATGTTGCGGGAATGGGACGACACCATGGCCAGGCCAATCATTTCGTGTTTGTGAAAATGAGTTCTTGGTGCTGTGCTTTTCTCTTCGATGTGCTGTGAGACGTTCAACGGCCGAAGGGGCCATTTTTCGGTGTCGTTCCCGAGAGCTAATGCACGGGCATTTGCGGGAAGGCCTCTTGAAGGAGGCGCTTGTGAGCGCAAAATAGTTGGAAACTGTCCTGTTCGAGTCGGTTGAAAGGGTCAGGCTGGCACAGTCTTCCTGATGTCATGTGTTCATGTTCTGAGGCAACATGCATAGTTCGACCGCTCATTTGGCCCCACCCTGCAACCATCACTCTGAACGAATTGTTATCACATGCAAAGCAGGCGTCGGACTCAATGTTGCGGGAATGGGACGACACCATGGCCAGGCAAATCATTTCGTGTTTGTGAAAATGAGTTCTTGGTGCTGTGCTTTTCTCTTCGATGTGCTGCGAGACGTTCAACGGCCGAAGGGGCCATTTTTCGGTGTCGTTCCCGAGATCTAATGCACGGGTATTTGCGGGAAGGCCTCCTGAAGGAGGCGCTTGTGAGCGCAAAATAGTTGGAAACTGTCCTGTTCGAGTCGGTTGAAAGGGTCAGGCTGGCACAGTCTTCCTGTTCTGAAGCAACATGCATAGGCCCCACCCTGGAACCATCACTCTGAACGAATTGTTCTAACCTGCAAAGCAGGTGTCCGCCGGGAATGGGACGACACCATGGCCTGCATTGGCTGCCTTTGGGTTTCGTTCCCGAGCAACAGAGCTAATGCGCGGGCATCTTCGGGAAGACCTCTTGAAGGATGCTGCTCCACCGTGCAAACTGGTCCTTGCCGGCCTTGGACAACCACAAAGCTTTACAGGGCCTTATGACGTTTGGCCGCGTTTTTCTTTGTTTCTGCAGGTCCAGGGTCTGGACGACCCGCCAGTCGGTGATAGAATTCAGAAGCCATTGACTTCCAGTGTCTGATTGGGGCTCGAGTCCGGTCAGGCTGACTCATTTTTAGCAGAGGACAGAGCGGGAGGGGTGACAAGATCTCCAAAATCTGTTTTGGACGGAAAGCGCGGAGCTGGAGCTTGCTGTTTCTTTGGATTGCAAGCTCGCCTCATTTCGGATTCTGGACTTCTTGAGATCGATGGCAACGCAAGCGTAGAAGCCTTTCAATGTATTTCAATCTATTGCTTCCGCGGCGGATCTTCACTGCATCCAGCTGTTGTACCGCCAGCGACGTGCAGAACGGCAGCGAATGGAATTGCATGCTGCTGTTTTTCAGGCCAAGCTTGAGGCCGTGTGGTAGAAGACCCACACTGAGAAGTTCCGCGTTCCATGATACACGAAGGCCTGCGTGAGCGTTGAGAAGAAAAGGCGCTCAAGCAGTTGATCCTGACGGATTGGAACAATGCTCTATTGACATCATGAGATGGGTACGGGTCAAAATTGAAGCGCTAGGGCGCAGGTAGTCTTTGTTTCCATTTACCAGTTTGCAAGCCATTTTGGTTCCCCTTGAGCCAGATGGGTACGGGTCATGGACTCAAGTAGGCTGCCCTTGGGGCCCCGAGAAAGGCTGCTTTGCAACGGCAACGGACCCGACGAAGTACAGAAACATGAGGGGGCGAGGACTTGCAACGGCAACTGACACAAAGTCCCGGGCGCGCATTGCGCGGTCTGAAGCGGAGTGGAAAACGTGGTTTTTGGGGGTGTGCTAGAAGCTCGAATAGCGTGTACACGAACGGGATAAGCAACCGGGAACCTCGGAGAAACAAGCCTGGTTGAGCAGGGATGGTCACTTTTCAATGACACATTCCCGCTGTTGCTTGCAATCCAAGAGATTGAATTCGGGGTCGACGTCATGTGCTCATGCTAGAACTCCTGAAATATTGTCCTGAAACATTGTTCAAGGTGCATAGTTCCTTCTAGGACTGTTGCCCTCTACATGGCACTGTGTACAAAGCATCCTGAAACATCATGGGGCATGATTGCAGATGTCGCAAGCCAGAGACGCGCCCCGAACAGTGTCTCATGTTCGCGCTTTTCACACCGTCCCCAAAAATGCCCGTCCAGACAAAGGCTCTGTGATATGGCTGTGGGTCAAAACCAATGGGATCCCATTTTGGGGTAGGTGAGTTCACCACCCATTTTAGGTTCCCTACTTTGGTGAGGATTGGGATGTTCACTGGGGTGCGATTTGGCTTTTGACCCATGGCCATATCCTGTGACGAGTTGCTCTTTCAGCCCCGGGAAGCCGAAAACTCGGCTGTGCAGGCAGCCGCGTTTGGCCCTGGCGGCTTCCTGCGGTGACAGCGGCTTCCTGCGCCCTGGCGCGGGGAATCGGAAGGGGCGGGGGAGCTGACAGAAGCACGCCCTGAGGCTTGAGGTAGCTTGGTGTCTGTTTTTTGTTGCGTTCCCTAGTCCTGTGGGTGGCTTGGTCCGATTGGCAGGAAAGTTTGATTGAATCCGCACAGCTCAAGCGAAACGCCTCAACCCAATACTGTGGGATGTCATAATATATTGATTAGAGCCATGGCGAGGGGAGAAGATGAAGCTTCATAGTGACTACTCATGCCTATTAGTTTTGGGGGCCCGAGATGACTCATTTGAGCTTGCCATGGCTGCTTTTGCTATGGTTCTAGTATTGAAGTATGACCTGGTGTCACCACTCCGAATCTCAGCTGACCAAGAGTAGTGAGAAGCGTTGGCGTGTTTACTGACCGGTGACAAAGGTTTCTCAGAAAACGGTCAAACGGCGGATGACTGATCAAGAGTGGCAAGGGTTGGTGGCCGTTCCATTTTTGCCAAGACTTCTGAGGTTGAGCATATTGTGAAGAGAAGACCAGGATCCATTACCTGTATTGTGTTATTTTGTGAGCTGATTGGAAATCATTGCGTTGGAGATCACAAGTTCCGTTGCCTCCTGTCTTCAATATTTTTTACAGCCTGTCTCAATGACTGCCATCACGGTGAGATATTGTGTGCAGCGTTGCAACGAAGCCAAGACAAGCAGCGGACACTCGCTTGACACTGCCAATTTTAAGCATGGGTCAGGTGTTCGATTCGCCATGCGGCAAGCCGACTGCCAACTTTGTGAAAGTCGTTGCGACTTGCAAAGCTATGACCATCCGGTTGATCGCAGCAATGGCGCGGAACGGAGTGATTGGCAAACAGGGCCGCCTGCCATGGTCAATTCCCGAGGAGTTCCGGAGTGAGAGCTGGTGCCAATCTCTCAACCACATTTCTGGGTTGATGCCTCCTGATAATCACCTAGTATATATACATATATCTACATACACATGCTCACCTACCTTCCTACTTGCAAACCATATATAAAAAAAATATATATCTTATTGATATCTTTACAGAACAAGTTGGTACCCTCATTCTAACCTCTCCACTTTTCAAGTTTAAAAAACACCTGCTCACCTTACCGCCTTGGCATGTGGCGTAAAGACCACTCTTGCTGTGCGCAGAGATCAATGGTTTTAGTGGATACTGGGCCATAAGGCCAGGGCTCACATGTCAGAGACATGTTTTGTTGGGAGTTCCATTTTGATTACTCCTTTGAATGATTCTAAATGTCCCCAAATAGTTTAAACACCGAACCCACGTGATTCCCATGCGAGTCCCATTTGGACTATTCCGCTAAATATCCGTTTCAACACCGAAGCCCAACTCCACTTGGTGGCTCCCAGCCATCCCCTTTAGCTTTTAGTGTTTTGGGATTTTCGTACTTTACCAACAAACTTAAGCTAAGTTAAACTTTTCGCGGGGGATCCGAAAACGGACAGTCCCTTTCAAAGGAAATTGGTCCAAACCAAGACCCCGTGGCCCCGTGTCAGGTTCCATGTTAATTGGTGGGGTGGGGGCGAAATTGGAGAATACCGAAGCCCAACTGCCAACTCCCTTGCTGGCGCGATAGGCAGGGAATGAGGGAATGACCCAAAAACAACCATCCCCTACGGTGAATGGACGAAATCCTGCACCACCTGAGAAACCCTGTGATGTTCCCCGGTAAATACCAAACGTTACAATGGTTTCAACTCCACGGTTTCCAAGTGGTGCGGTTTCTGGATGTCACAACCATCCACAGTAATAAACAGAGGGTCATTCATCCAGATACAAACCATCCTCTATGGACTCAAAGCAGGACTCAAAGCACTTCCTCAGCGCAGTGGAGGGTGGCACCTGCATCTCCGGGCGCCGAAGCTACGAGGAGCTGGGCCGAGCCATACCCGGCGCAGGCAAGGGATCAGCTTGGCTTGGGTGTGGGTTTTGGGCTTGGGCTGGTTGGCTGGGCTGGTTGGTTGGTTGGTTGGCTGGTTGGTTGGTTGGTTGGTTGGCTGGTTGGTTGGCTGGTTGGTTGGTTGGCTGGTTGGTTGGTTGGGTTGGGGATAGGTTTTGGCTTGGGCTTGGGCTGGTTGGCTGGGCTGGTTGGTTGGTTGGTTGGTTGGCTGGCTGGTTGGTTGGTTGGCTGGTTGGTTGGTTGGTTGGTTGGCTGGTTGGTTGGTTGGCTGGTTGGTTGGTTGGTTGGTTGATTAGCTGGTTGGTTTGCTGGTTGGGTTGGGCGTGAGTTTTGGGCTTGGGCTTGGGCCATACAGAAACGATGACTGGCTGGTTACAAGCATAATCGATGTTCCATGCAAAGCGCGCAAAGAAGATCAATCACAAAAGAAGCCGCCGGCTGCCTGGATTTGTTTCAACTTGAGCCTTAGCCAAAGTTGCTTCGAAACCTGCCAGCAAAAGGCTCAAAGTTTGCCAACTCGAGCAGTTCAACTGTACCAGAATAGATCTGAGCATAGCAGCATTATATCAATAAAGCTCCTTCTCATGCTGTGAACTGGAATGTTTCTCAAAGCTAAATTGCACATCTATTGCTTGACTTAGTGTTGTGTGAACTTTCGCCATGACTACGCTTTAGCAAGGGTGTCCTTGCCACCATTTGCGTGAGCGTGTTTTCGTTAGTACACACTGTGCAAAATGTGATGAACATCAAGCTGGTGATCAATGTTGCAAAGGGTTCAGATTCTCACGGTTCACTACTGCACTGACAAGTTTTAATCCAGCATGGCGTTTTTGTTTGTTTCAAGGTGCCAAGCTTCCAACATGCCACCTTGCAGAATATGTGTTTTTTCATTGTGTCTCAAATTCTCGCGGGTCGATCCACACAGTCAAACACATGCTTGCTGGCTACTAGGGATGCTCATGGATCGTTGATTTAGGGGAGAAGTTGGAGACACAGCAGAATAATTTCCACACGTCTCATCCAAAAGTGAAGGGACCCTGACTTTGATGTTTCTTTGTGTGATGTCTGGGCGCTGATTTGGCACCCCTCAACAATCACTCCATTGGGTAGTCAGCCCCTTAGTTCTGGTCGATATGATTCAACTCTGAGGAATGCTATTCTTGGAGCTGCGATTGGGACTATCACGGCAACTAAAGGTATAGCTACCCCAAGAACCACGACTATGACTCATATTGTCAGGACCATCCATGCTCAGAACAACTGGGTGCCAAAAAAGGAGAAACACCAAAGGGGACGGGTGATGGTTTCATTGTTCCGGAGCCCAGTTGGCTGAAGATTGCATGCGGGCCTGGCACGAAGGCCTGCACATCGTGCTGTCGAAGCAGCAGGACCTCACCTACCCGGATGCCATGGTGCGGCCAAACCTGGGCGACGCCATGATGGCAGGTTCTTGAAATAGGGTGGGGGGGGGGGGGTTGAGGGTAGTCCTCTTCGGTTGGTTGAAAGGGAAGCCAACATAAGGGAAGCCCACTTCCTTTTTTTGGGGGGGGCAGTAAGTTCCCCTAATTCGAGCCATAATTTAAATCTGAGCTCGTAAACCGAATCGCCAAGAAGCTACGGTTTGCAGCCGACATATTGCACCATAATGTTACGCTAAGCCAGTGACAACACCCTGTAGGAAAAGAACACCAGCATGAGACAGGCAGCTAGAGCCACTCAAGAGCCTTGAGTGACAGCGCCGCATGTTTGCAGCCTACAGCTTTTTCCACACCCAGTGTGGATGTTTGTATTTCTCAAATTCGGGACGTGTTGGATGGTTCTAAATCGGAACCCGAACGACACCCGCGACTTGTCGCCTCCTTTGCCCCTTTTTCAGCGCCCGAAAAGAAAATCGCTCGCCCTGAGGCTGCGCTGGAGAGCGGGCGGCCAATTTGGATGTGCGGGGGAGCTGACGTGTACCAGCGCACCTTTCCCATTGCAGAGGAGTTCTGGGCTACGCACATCGATGCAGAAACCCGGCTAAGTCCACCGAACAAGTTGTCAGCCATACTGTGGATGGACAAAAACCACACCTAAGGAACTCTGGAATGATTCGATTCCCCCGCAAATACCAACAAATGGCTGCAACCATGGTTGCAAAGTGGTGCGAAGTGGATTTTGCAACCATCCACAGTATTAGGGGCTCCCCGTACGGCAGACATAGCCATTCTCTAGTGGGACCTCCCCAAATCGTGTCAACGCCTGCCAAAATGCATGAATTCCGAATGCCACTGTATATACTCCTGAGTACCCTCTCAAAAACCTAAGCTGCTGGGGCCAACGCATCTGCAACGGGCATTTTGCCTCTGCGCCGTAGTTCCAGATTGAAAGAGATTCTGTGAACAAAGCAACCGCCTTTGCTACAACTGGTGGTAGCAGCATTCGAAGCGAGGATCCATCAGCAATGTGTCCAGAATCGGGGCTTTGGAATGTTTGGGATGGCTTTCGAGTGGACTAAATGCACAGCCCATGTCCATGTTTGATCCCGTATCAATGCTACTGAGGATGTGGAGGGCGATGTCTACTTTCCGGACGGCTGGCAGGATCACTTTCAGCATGAGGCTGCTGGGCTCAGCCGTTCGAACGGCGACCCTAGGAGTGGAACGTCTAGAGCCTCAGGGACAAGAGAAACATGGAATCTGAATAAGGGTCCTACTGTGGATGGACGAAGTGGCTTCAACCATGGTTTCCAAGTGCGAAATGGATTTCGCAGCCATCCACATGACCTGGGGAGTGGTCTTCCAGGTTTGCCCCGGGTACGGTTTGGCGTCCGGCAGGCCAGCCGGCACAGCAGCAGCGATGCCAACTTCCGCTATGACTTTGTGGTCTACCGCCGGACGCCGTAGCGCCACCTGGGCCCCATGCGCCTTTGGCCGGACTCAGGAACACACCCACGGGGTTTGACTCGCACCGGCGTGCAAGACGGCTGGTGATGCAGTGCCCTGTGAACCGAACTATATTTGTGCACAATTACAAGAAGTGATGCGAGTTCGTTCTGGGTCGGTGGCATGTCACCTTGGGGCGAGGTGCCTCTTGGAGGATTGACTAGGTACACGTCGCTTTCCAGAGCAAGATGTTGCCAGCAAGTGCTTGAAGGGTTATTATTTGTGAACAGAGCTGCTGTTCGACATGGCCTTACAATGCTTGAACCTGACTCCGCAGTGATGGAAACGAGCTACATGAATCCGTTTTTTTCTCCTTTCTCCCGGTCTCTCTGTATCTTTTATTCAAGCGGAGGAGGTTTACGTGGCACAGCGAAGTCGGGCCCACTTAAGACTGCGGTAGGGCCACGCTAGGGCCAAATCAACACAATCCGCATGTCACCATAGGATTCAGGCCTGCGCAAAAGTCAACCGATAGCAGGCTACATGTGGAGACCCCAAGTGAGCAGGTGGGGAGCAGCTGTGAACCCTCGCACCTAGTATGAACATCTTGCCGCATTTGTTCCTGGATCCGAATTCTGAGGATGCACCACCAGGCGTTGCCCAGATTGCGCCCCGCATTCCCCGGCCGGCTAAAGTTTAAGTCCCACCCCTTTGCGGGAGTAGCCTGAAACGAAGGGCACATGCACACACACACACAAGGTAAGCTGCGACCAGGGCAAAGGCTGGCAAGTTAATTAATATGAAGCCTCGAAACCCGAAACAAGGCGCGCAACCGAACATGTGGCACCCTCAACAGTTCACGGCCGAGCCCGTTTCTACCTTTGTAGCCGTCTCAAAAGCCTTCGCAAGGTGAAGCTTGAGCAAGGCGAGAACTGGACACAGTTCTCAAGATTGCTTGGCACTTCCCAGATTTGAGCCTGAGTTGTTTCGTCGCACGGCTTCTTCTGTCCAGCAACAGGGCAGAAAAGAGATGATTCATTCAAACTGTTCGATAGCATGGTTTGGTGCTGAGCAGGCAGTCGAGGGTTCGACATTGTGGCACGTGTGTGACGTGCATGTGTTGCATTAATTTCTGCAAAAATTCAACCACCAGGGGACCGCAGATTTTAGTGAATGTGTCCATTTACCAGGGTTCCATTTTGGGTACCTATTTTTGGGCCACAGCCATATACCAGCCACTGGGCGCTCGCTCCACGAGGCGAAGTGATGGGGGCGATCGAAATCGAGTTGGAGCTGGATCACCAGTGCCGCTTCACTGTGCCGATGCGGCCCCTTTCCGGAGCCGACCGGAAAGGCCTGCGGAGGATTCTGTGGCTCAGGGAGATGCGCGAGGAAAAGTGGAGCTTGCCGCGCCACAGGGAGGTGATGCGATGCTTGAGGGGCTCTTTAAGATGGCTTCGCCCTTCTTTCAAAAGCAGGGAGGCTTTGTGTTTTTTCAGCGTCAGGGCCCGCTTCTGCATTGGCCAAGTTTCGACCAGCAATTTTGACCTGGGGCGTGCCTGGGGACGGGACACGTTGCATTCAGGGCACACAAGAGGCTTCTTGAAAAAAACATGACCCAATTCCATCCTTGACATCCTGATCTTTTTACCCTGTCATATTCTGTGCAGGCCACACCATTGAATCACCAGAAGTCCGCCAGATGGGTTTCACCGGAAGTTTCCTTAGCTCGGTCGAGGCATCGCTGAACGCGACGTCAGTGGGATCTCCCAGGCCCGGCACGGGGTCGCCAATGGTCGTTGGAGGTACCAGGACCTGAGCGTTGCCATCGCCCAAGCAATTTGTGGAGGTCATTGTTGGCACCAGCCTCGGCGTTCGTGTAAACTCTGGTGGATTTGCTCTTCAACTGCAACACTGCAAACCAAATCAACATCTGGTAGTAGATGATTTCAAGGTTCCCACATGCAGCCTGGGGCTGTGTTGATGTGACAGCTGGCTTGGTGCTTGTCATAAGTTCATAAGTCTTGCTCCTCCTTTGCTTGGGATGCGCCAGGTTGGGTTTTTTGGATGGTCGCAAGTTGATGGACTTGGGACACCTCATTCCATGGCTCGCCGGGCCCGGCTCAAGCCTAGCCCCGAGAAGCAGAAAGGCGGACACATCCAGGGACGAATGCAACGGAAGGCTAGTTGCATGGGTTGTCTTTTCTTGCATTTCCAGCTAGAGTGGGTCCCCCAGCTAGGTGCGCTTTTACCGTTTCTTCTTTGGGGGAGGGTTCCCCTATTAAAGTAGACTACAGAAAAAAGAGGGTACCCTTCTTCTAACCTCTCTACTGGAGGACCTAGTAGAGGTGCACATGATCATGGTTGCGGTTTGTCAGCTGTGTCCGGAAAGGCGAGGGTCATTTTAGCCGTCGAGACTTGGAGCTTGATGTGGCTGAGATGGAGCTGGTCCTTGGTTGGAAGCTAAAAAGGGAGCTGGAGATCAGGACACGACATGCGGGCAAACATCCTTCACTGTGGAACCAGTCCGCTTATTTCAGGATATTTCCGGATTCTTACAGAGAGAGAGAGAGAGAGAGAGAGAGAGTGTCGCCAACCGCTGGAGAAGGGCTAGTGTGTGTGTGTGTGTGTAAAACAGAACATATGTAGATAGGTCGACCTATCCAGCTTCCGGGAATTAAGGGTTAGGGGGCATTTAGCGTTTAGGCTTTACGTTTTTGCTGCTGAGGCTTGGTATCTCTGAGCCGTCGGGGATGGACACAGCTGGACGATTACTTGTTGGGTCAGGGTAGCTGCGCGAGCGGCAGTGCCGACGACCCTTGTGCGTGCTTCGTGCCAGCCGATGCGTGACGAGGCTTGTCGCACGCGCTCAGGTGCTTGCCGCTGTGCTCAGCGAGGCGCCCCGGGCCCCCTCGCGCCTCGCGTCTTGCTTGCCCATGCCAGATTCTTATAGAATGCGCGGCATGGTTTCCTGGGGTTGGGATGGATCGCCAACCCTTGGATTCCTGGACACTCAAACAATGTGTTCCATAGGGCAGACTTTGAAAGCCACAACTTGCCTTTTGATCCAATTCTCATTGTCAACTGGGTCAACGTTGGCTATCATGAGATTTTGCACCTTGCTAAGACAAACGTGCTTGCGAGCAATTGGACTCCAAGGTTAGGAGTGAATAACACCTGGGTTAGGCAGCACCTCCGTTGAAGGAACTGTTGTTTCCTTAAAACGTCGACCACTGGAAATGGGTTGTTTCCTGTTTGAGTTTCCCTTCAATCACAATCCCAGAGGCAGCTTCGTGCAACCGTCCACATGGAAGCTTTGTTATTCATTTAAAAAAAAAAAACGTCCGTTTGTAGAGGAAACCTTCTTGGGTTCCATGTTATTCTGTGGCGACTTGAGACATCGGGTCCTCAGGTACATGCCAAAACCTGATTTTGTGTTTGAAGAATCATCGGCGCCAAAGCGAAGGTACGATCACATCCATTAGGTACTCCCCTGCTGATGAACGTCTACATCTGAACATTCCACCGGGTCCTCAGGGAACAACCCCTACCGATGAACATGGAACCCACAAAGCCCCTTCATGTTGGGTACTCCCCCGATGCAGGAATGCGTTCATCATCAAGGTGCGAGCATTATGTAGCTCGGGGCCGGTGCAACTGTAGCATATAGGGCTGCAGCAAGATAACTCTTTGTTCAACAGCTGCAGCGGTAGAGCGATACAAGCAGATTCAGGGTGCTTCTCGCCGGTGCCGACCCGAAGAAAGCAATTTACAATACTCAATAGTAAACCCCACCCCAGATTAAAGCAAGAACAACCCTGCAGCCGCATCACGTTTGGCCAATTTTGGCTCGTTCAATCAGGTTTGCGACCCTTGGCTGAACAGGAATTCCTGTAGACATTACTTACTTGTCTCATTGTCTACTTCTCCCATGTTGCCCTGGATTCCCCTTCTCGCAAAAGGGCCTGTGGTGAGTACCTTGGGTGAAGCACCCAACTGTTTACTTGAAAATAGAAAACATGCAGAGTCATAGGTGTCCTTTTTTGCGAAAAATAGATGGCGATTTCTGGTAAATCCTGGTGGTTTAATCATCTAGGCCATCTATTTCCGCTAAAAGGACACCTATGGTCTGATGTTTGTTTGCAACGTCAACCGCAATGCCGTTGATTCATTGGGTTTCAGCAGGTAACCCAAACCTTTTGAAGTTTTTCGGGTGTTCCTTTCTTGTTTCGTTTCTTGCTGAGGTCCCAAAAGGTGAACCTTCCATTGACGACCCCTAGGTCTGGCGCCGGCAACGCGTCTGGCGCTAGGCGAAGCCGAGCTTCGGGAAGCGACGGCTGGACGCCAACACCACGGCCTGGGGCCAAAGCTTCCAGGGCGCCGGCTGCCCCAAAGGAAGAGGTGCTTCCCTTCAGGTTTCTTCTCCCAGGTACCAACTTTTACCCTTTCGTTTTTTGGAAAAGGAACGGCGCGTCAAGGGATCAAGCTCCCAAGTTTGTGCGGGAGATTTGTACAGGCAAATACCGACCTCGGCACGGAGAAGACCCATCGATCGTAATACTTGTGGGGATTGTTGACCACTGATGAGTAGATGAACCTGGCCAGTGTTCAGTGCAGTGCCTCCAACGTAGAGCAGCGTCCGGCATGCTTTGCTGTTCGAAACGACTCGCACAGTTGTTCGTGGGCGACACATTTGTCCGGACCCATGTGGCTGTGGGTCAAAAGCCTGTACCCCTGGTGAACATGAAAATAGGTGGCAAATGGACGTTCCACCCCAAAATGGCTCGCCATGGGTTATGCAACCCATGGCCTCATGTGACGGCTTGAATATGGCCAAGCCGGTAAGATCGGATGGACAAGGACTCCCCAACTGTCACAAAGTAGTCTGCTGAAAATACCTCAATGGACTTCCCATGAAGCTCCTACCCTGCTTGGAAGGAATGCAAAGGTACACCAAGAGACACAAGCACAAACAAAACCATAGCGACCACACAACCCGAAGAGACCCAACCATAACTTGGCGGCTGCCAGCCATCCCCTTAGCATTTTAGCCTTTTAGTGTTCAGTGGTAGTTTCAACGAATTTAAGCCCACTAAAAGTCATTCACTTTGAGCGGGAAATGAAAAAAACGGGCCAGAGAACCAGGACCGGAACCACACGCCCCGACCAGCCGACGATGGCACGCCCAGGTCTGCCTCACCACCACGCAGCCCTGGGTTCCGCTGCCCCAGCGCCAGGTGCTGGCGCCGAGCCAACGCGAGTATCGAGTGAGCCCGACCGATTTCGTTTGGGGAGCCGGAAATCTGAAAACCAAAATGGTATGTCAAAGGGTGAAGCCCATGGGTTTCCCCAATTAGGTTTTTCCATTCAGCCTAATAAAGGGTACTGATTCAAAAAAAGAAAGAAACGCAAACCCAGTTTCAAGCGCAGGGGTCTCTGGGCTAGTCTACTGGGTTCCCTTGTTCCCATACTTGCAAATATTTGGGTCATTCGTACTAATTTGGCGCCATAACCCTCTACTTGTAGGGGGCCGTTTTGGTTTCAAAGACAAAGCAAAGGGTTTAGGGCGGCCTCCTATTGAGACACCCAGATCAGAGACCTTAGAGTTGGACCATTTGCGCACGAAGTGGAAGCAGCTGGGCGCAGTCGACATTTGGCAGGCGCCCTCTTAACCCGAACGTGCCACGGGATGGAAATGCTTCCGGAAGACATGTGGCTTTGGCTCAAAAATACGGTACCAAAATTTGACACCTTGGTAGATGGAACCAAAGACTAAAACCGGTTTCGTAACCCTAGCTCCTTATTTTTTTGAGCCACCCCCATGTTTTTGAGAAGCACCAATGGGTGGTTTTTCTTGTCTCCCATCTGCCAGACCCATGGCCCCTGCATGGTCCAGTCAGTTTGTGAGGCATTGCCGTTGGGTTTTTGGGGCACCATGGCTATGTCTCGAAGCAAGTTGCACCCATGAGGAAGGGCCATTGAGGAAGGGCCCAGCATGCTTCAGCCTGTCTGTCTATCCGTGAGCGTGTTGTAAAGGGCCTGTTGTCACGGCAGTTGGTGCGCGTGAAGGGCAGGGAGGTGTCCTTTTTGTTCTTCAATATCCTTCAACTTCTTTTTGATTGTCTTGTTCCCCACCGCAGATTGCAGTGCAGCAGTTGCACTTACACTACAAACTGGAACCCTGACGTATCTATTACTTGTGTAACCACATTGCTGGATCCAATGGACTATTGTTCTAATGAATGAAATCTAACATCATCATACTGAGTAACTTCCTACACTGCCGTTCTATGAATTGTTGAGAGCTTGCGCTTGCCACCCACCTCACCATCTCAGATGATTTGTGCTTCCAAGCAAGCCATTCAAGCCCAGATGGACCAACATGTGGTGACTACCTCTTCCATTTCGGCATTCTATGCAAGAGTTGGCTTAG